AATTTATTTTTTCTCCAAAATGGGACCTCCAAAATCTCCCATATGTGACCTCAATTACGTTGTCATTTACAAACGTAAATGTGACCAAGTTTCTAACATTAACATTGATATAAAAATGCATTTTTAATATTCCATGATTGTGACCTTCATTTTCCCTTAATGTAACTTGAATTTTTGTCATTTTTAAAGTGAAATGGTAGTATGAAAATTATATTAAACTCCTGCTTGAGTCTCATTTTCTAGAAATTCATTTCTTTTCAAACTCATTTCTAATCACATTCTCCGAATAAAATAATTTTTTTCTACTTTTTAATCACACATTATTCAAAAAAAAATCATTATTATAAAATTTATTCTCCCCAACAAAAAAATTGAAGCTCAAACATAGCTTAAGAGTTGAATTGTATCCAGTCAATTAGGCCTTGCATGAGCCCGTTCTACTTGGCCCAAGAAAGGTGTTTAGAACCCAATAAGTTTCCAAGTGGGTTTTAGCCCATATCACTCTTATGCATTTCAAACATTTTAATATTTGAAAATAATATAAATAGAATATTTGTTTAAAATTCAATTTAACGAAAAAAAAAGAAGAATTAATTTCTTTTTCGCTAACAAAATCGATACATAACACATTAATTTCATATATCGTAAACGAACACAAATTGGTATTAAATTTTGAATAAATGTGTTGTTTTACAAGCATATTATCAAATAATAACCGGTATACATCTAACGTCTTTAACTTGATAAGAGAGGCACGGTGCACCCACCACGATCGAGTTCCCTTTTGCATCGGCATGGAGCCTTCGTTGATTATTTATTTTTCTTTGGGTTTGCTATGTTTCCTGCTTTTCAATTTGCAGCCAATTCGATTGCTTTGGAAGAAGTAATTTAATTTAGACTCTATTTTGAGTCTCATTCTTTAAAATTTATTTTTATACAAATTCGTATAATTTAATTTATACATATTATTTCAAATAAATAATTTTGCATGCAAATTCAATTTTTTTCTAACATGGTCTTAAACTTTTTAAATAAATTAATTCAATTTGACATTAGCAGTTCAAAAAAATTCAAAGATCTTCAGTTCTAAGACTCATCATCCTCCGTTTACAAAAATTATGCACATGTCATGTTTTCGATGATACTGACCCACGCAACTAGTTCTCAGTTAGGCGTGTAGAGATATTTCTAGGGCTGGACATAGGTTGAACCAAAATTTTCGTGTATTTAATAAATAGAACTGTAGGATCCAAATATAATTATAGAACCATTCGGGTTCAGTTCTATTCGGTTTCGTACCATACTTAATTTTTTTAACATTTACAGGAATACTACATAAATACAGCTAATGATATGTTCATTCATAACTTTTACAAATTAACATATCCCAATTTAAAAATATATAAATAACAAGTTGTTTAATAAAATTAATTCAATGTATACAAATATCAAAATGTAGACACTAATACTAAAATATCGGTGATCCATATCAATAATTTCTTTACTTCAAGCAGACTACATAAAGAAATGAAATATAAATTATAAATTATAAAAATAAAATATTTTTTTAAGTATAGGTAATACTTATCAATTATTTGATTTAATTATCAATTGATTGACTTATCATACTAACAAACTCTCTACAAGCATAATTGAAAAGGCACAATTAACAAATACAAATAAACTAAAATTCGTTCAATTAAATTAGTTAATTTTCTAATTTTTTTAGAAAAAATTAAAAAAATTTAATTAATTTGATATAAAAAAACTAAAAAAATTTAGATTCAGTTTTTATTCGGTTCTTGGTCTAGAACCGAGAACCGAACCGAACTCATCGATTCTCGATTCAGATACCCGTTTGTATATGTAACTTATGAAGAACCGTTCCGTTCAAGTTTGATTCGATCCAATTCGATTCGGGAGTTTTGTCCGGCCCTAGATATTTTCCTTTTAAATGATTTCTT